TACTAAGAACTTTTCAGGCATCAAGATTAGGTAGGATATTCCAGGATAAAGACTGTTATGTGTAAATGCATGAAAGTGAAAATGGGACATTTAAGAAAATACAAGTGGTGGAACCAGCGGATGGCATAACATTTACGTAGTTGATCGTGGTTTGGGTCCTAGACCTGGCAGCTTAAAATTCACGCCAGAAATGTGTACACGTGTTCCCAAAATCCTGAGAGGAGAATGGAAGAGAATGGATTATGCTATGGCCATCCCTCTGAGGGGTGATTTCTTACTTTCGCTCTCTCTGTCTCTCCAGCAAGCACAAACGTCCTATAGCAAAAATATCTCTTTACCAAAAAGAAAATAAATACAAGTGGTTCATTAATGCTGTAATGCTGTTATCCTATTTCTCTGCTTCCCTTTACAATCAAACTCCTTTAAAGAGTTATCTACATTGGGGCCAGCAAGTGTCATAGTAGTTAAGGCACTGGACTCCCACATAGTTAATGGTGGTTCAGGTCCTGGACTGGAGGCTTTGAAACTCACTCCAGGTGTGAATGCATGCATGTCCAAAATCTTCACAGGAGAATGGAGGAGAAGGGATTGTGGTGGGGCCACTGCCCCCTCTCCAGGGGCGGGGGGGGGGGGGGGTTTCTCACCTTCTCTCTGTGTGTCCTGCTAGCACATGCGCCCTATACCAAAAATCTCCCTAAAACAAAACAAAAAGTTGTCTATGCTTACTTACTGTCTCCAATTCTTCCCCTTCCAGTCTCCCTTAATCTATTGAGTCATCAGGAAAATCATGATGCATTTTTGCATAGGAAATGCATAGAAATATACGTCATGACTTTCCTGATGACCTAATACTATGATGAAATCTTTGCTCTTATCACTACTATAAGAAAATTGTTCACTACAGTCACTAAATTACCAGATTGTGAAATCAAATACAGTGGACAAGGGTCAGTTCTCATTTTACTTCATCTGTGAGCAGCATTTACTATCAACTCACTTCCTCCTTTGAAGTAGATTCTTCACTAGGCTTCCCAAACAGCCCATTCCTGAGTTTTCTCCTGCCTCACTGACCACTTCTCTCTTTTGCTGCTCATTTATCCTTATTTATCCTTTTCTGTAACCTCTTACCTCTGGAGTGTCCCAGATCTCAGTCCCTGGGCCTCATGTCTCCTCTATCTACTGGGTCGTTGGAAAAGTCATGACATGTTTTGCAAAAATGTAACATGACTTTTCCGACCAACCAATTATCTGTTATCTCATATCTTCTCTATTACTGCCTACTTGTAGGTCTCATATGCACCTCAAATTTAATAGGTCCTAAATTCCTGCACCCCCGACCTTGCTCCAATGCCCTTCCCCCATCTTGCTTAATGGCAATTCCATCCTTCTGGTTGCTCAGGTCAGAAACTTCTCTTTCTTCCACATTCACTCTCATCAATTGTGCTGACCCAACTTTCACAACATATCCACATGGGTCACTTACCATTTCTACTGGCCTGCTCTGACCCAAGATGCCATTCTCTCTCAGGTACATAACGGCTACCGCAACCTAAATGACCTTGCTTCCACTTTCTCCCTAACTAATCTCAACCTAGCAACCAAAACAATCCTTTTAACATTAAAGCAAATTCATGTTACTCCTGGGTTAAAAATCCTCCAGGGTTTTCCATCTCAGTCAGTCTTGACAGTGGCCTATAAAGTACTGCACAATTTGATACTTCTCCCCTTCCCCAGTTCATCAGTACCTTTCTGACCTCTTGAATACTTCTTCCTCTTGCTCAATAAGCTCCAGCCATTGTCTTCCTTGACATATTTCCAAAGCAGAACCTTGTATTACTTTTTTCCTTTGCATCAACTCTTCCTTCAAATAACCAAATGCTCAAATGTAACTTTCTTAGTGAGCCTTCCCAGTGCAAACTACTAAAAACTATTCACTTGTTCACATTCCCTTCTTTTAATTTTCTCCACTAACATATCAATGTCTTACATAAAATTATTTTCGAATTTAATACACTTTATTTTCTCCTACTAAAACATAACTTCCCTGGGGGCATGGATTTTTGTCATGTTTGTTTGCTTCTGCACTTTAATGCCTAGTGCAATACCTTCCACATAGCAGCTACTTGAAAAAATGACTATAAATGAAAGGAATTATTTTCCAACAGTAAAAACTACCCAGTCTGGGGTCTCCTTTTAAAGTTCTGAGCAGGCCCTGTGGTGCATAGCATTACGGGCAGTGCCTGAGCCAAGGCGCCGGGAGCCATCGCCGTGAAAACTATGGCACTTCCCAACAAAAGAACATCTTGCTCACCAATATACCCAGGGTTAGAAAAACCACATTAGGCAAAGAACTTACACCAAGATCAGGACTGAAATACATCACTGTGGGTGATTTAGCTAAATAAGTCTACGCTGATCACCAGATTATCATGGAGTCTGGCAAGATGACTTCCCCCAAGAGCATGCTGAAAGATGCATAGATGATGGCACAAATCCTGAAGGATATGGGGATTACAGAATATAAGCCAAAAGTTATAAATCAGACGTTCCAATATGTAACTCAAGATGATACAAAAATTTATTTAAGCCACATTAAGAAAGCTACTGTTGATGCAGATGACGTGTAATTGGCAATCTAGTGTCGTGCTGACCAGTCTTTTACCTCTCCTTCCCCAAGATATTTTTTTATTAGACATTGTAAGGCAAATAAATCAACCTCCTTTGCCACTGACAAAGCCATATTCAGGTCCTAGACTGCCACCTGATAGATATAGCTTAATAGCTCCAAATCATAAACATGAGTCTTTACTAAAAAAAGGCATCTACTTCTGCAGGAAGATTAACAGTTCCATGGTTAAGTGTTGGTTCAGTTACTAGCAGACCAAGTGCTCCCACACTAGGCACACCAACCCCACAAACCACATCTGTTTCAACTAAGGTTTACAATACAGATGCTTACATCACGGTCCCCAACTGTGAAAGCAACAATTCCTACACACCAGCAGTTCAGAATGTTCAGTTAACCCGTCATTAACTGGATCCAAAAATATTATCATTACCACTAATAAGGTGTCATCACAAAATGATACCAATGAATCAAGTGTATTGAAAAGAAAATGTGGAGATGACGATGATGACTACAGGGATGATGATGATGATGACTGATAATTTGGAATCTAGGCTTGATGATGCACTGTGTATACTTGGTCTTTAATACACTGTACTGAAATTAAAAATGCATACTGAATGTTTTCAAGTTGTGTTTTAAAAAAACTAAAATAGGGGGCTGGCAGGTGGCGTGATGGTTAAAGATGCTGGCTTCCCACATGGCAGACCACAGTTCGAGTCCCGGACCTGATGGCCTGCTTTCTCCCTATCCCTATCTTTCTCTCTTTGTCTCTCTCTGGTCAAATTAAAATACTACTGCTAATAATAATAATAACAAAAGGAATTAAATAAATAATTCTTTTTTAAAAGAGAAAACTTAAATAGTATTTAAGTAGTAAATATAGTTAACCATTCTTTTCTGTTGAAATGTTGGATTTTCTTTCATAGGATTAACTAATGGTTTTGTAAAAAATAAAGTTGTTCATTAATTCAGTTGTCGGTTTAAAAAAAAAAAAGAAAGTACTGGGGACCAGCAGTTAGCATAATGGTTGTGTCGCTGGACTCCCATGTAGTCGACCGCGGTTCGCGTCCGGGACCCGGTGGCTTAAAACTCACGCCGGGCGTGTGTGGGTGCATGCCCCCAAGATCCCGAGAGGAGAATGGAGGAGCAGGGATTGCAGTGTGGCCATCCCCCCTGGGGGGTGATTTCTCGCTTTCTGTCTCTCTGTCTCTCTCTGTCTGGCGAGCGCACGCACTCCATGGCAAAAAAATAAAAAATAAAAAAACTCTCCCCCAAAAAATAAATAAATAAAGTACTGAGCAGATGTTGAGAGGCAGCCAGCAAATAACTGGAAGGTGGTTTTTATAAGAAATGTCTGCAATGGGGAAGAAGTTCAACTAGGAAACTTTCAACCTTAAGGCTCGATGATACTTCTCAAAGTATTGCCAACAAGAAACTAAATCAAAGATCACTACTTCATAGACAGTGAAACATACAGAAACTCCATGTCAACTGTTACATCTACCAAAAAATTCAGTCAAGAAAATCAAAGCTCATTTGTTAATTAGGAAACCACAGATGAACTGCCTTCCTCAATAAGCTGGTTCACGGTTTCCTAACTTAATGACTGGTACTGTCAATCAGCCATTGGAATGTTCATGCAGGAAATCAGACAGCCTTCCTGAACACGCCCTATCAACATCTCCCCTAGCCCCAATCCTCCCTCTAAGGCACATCAATGAGCTCACCAAGTGGCACTTTCAGCGCCAGAACCAAACCCTCAGAGTACCGTTCCAGTGCGATTTACCAAATAGACACCGAAGCATTATAGACAGTGTTTAGAACTGTGCTGGAGCCCCAGTTCCAACGTTTCATAGCTATGTGAACTTAACGGGTCTAAGTCTGTTTCCAGATTTATAAACTACAGAAAAATAAGGGCACTGTAGGGACTAAATAAACCAATATACGTACAGTACCCGGTATGTACCTGGCACATTGTCAGCACTCGATACACTATCTATTCGGTATTAGTCTGTAGTTCTTACCCAGGTAGCTATCTCCAAACACGAAATACTCAGTTCCACATCCAGTTCTCCTCAATTAAATCTCTCGTCCAGAAAATAAGTCGTCCCTATTCTCTACCGAACTCCTACCTGTACACAAGACGATTCAGCAAGTTCTAAGATACCCCAGTCTTCCAACCGCCCGCTCGCCATCCCAAAGGAGAGGGCCCGAGAAGGTTGGCAAGCAGTCCCTCACGTTCAGCACAGGTTTACCGAGCTCAGGCGGTGACCTAGAAACGCTCTGGAAGCAGGGAGCAGAGCAGCTACAAAGACAGAAATCGGTTTCCCCGAGGAGGCCTTCTAAGGAGTGGCTCCCCCCCCCCCCCCCCCCAGCCGGTCGTTCAAATTCCGGAGACAAAGGCAGCTACTCAGATCTACCAACGACGCCCTCGAAGCCGGTGCAGACTGTGGTCCCGGACCCGGGAGCGGGGAGGGCGGAGGGCACACGGAGACCGCCGCAGACAGTGCCCGAAGGCCTGGCTCGAGAAAGGCAGCGATCCCGCCAGATGGTGGCGACCGCACCAAACAGGACAAGTCAAAGACTCACCGCCCCTTGAGCGTGACGAACCGCCACCCAGCTCCGGGAGCTCGGTGCCCAGCCTCCGCGGCGCTCAGGTTTAAACTCCGCAGCCGTTTAGCGGTTCCCACACCAGCCAATCCGAGCCAGAGAAGACGGCGCAAAGGCACATGGTTACCAGGAAGTGGAACACGGAAGGGGCGGGACTCCGCTCGGAGGGCTGGAGGGGGCGTGGCCAGGCGAGCCTGGGGCCACACGCCCAGCTCGAAAGGCCCATCCTTGCGGAGTGGCGTGTCGCTGTCTCCTGAAAAAAAGAAACCCGTTAGGGGCCAGCAGATGGCGTAGCGGTTACGTCGCTGGACTCGGCGGTTCAAGACCTGGACCCGGTGCCTTCAAACTCATGCTAGTCGCCCGTGTGTCTGTTGCGTGTCTGTGTGTGTATGCCCAAGATCCAGGGGGGAGAACAAAGAAGAAGAGGTTGCAGAGTGGCCATAGCCCCCTCCCCCTGGTGTGATTTCTCGCTTTCTGTCTCTCTGGCAAGCGCACATGTTCTATAGCAAAAATTTCTCCCTTTTTTTTGAGATTTGTGTCCTAGGGCACGTGCACTCAACAGAGAGTCAGAGACAGTGAGAGGGAAAGTGAGAAAACACTCCTCAGGGGGGATGCCACAGTGCAATCCCTTCCCCTCCATTCACCTCCCAGAATCTTGGGCATGCAGGCACACTCCCCTGGTGTGATTTTCAAGTCACCAGGTCTGGGACTCAAACTGCTGTCAGCCACGTGGGGGAGTCCAGTGACATAATTGCTACGCTATCTGCTGGCCCTACCTTTATGTTTTACTTAAAAGACTTCCTCATTTTTCTTTTAGTTTTCTGAAGAAAAAGTGATAATGATGTTTCCTTAAAAATCCTGGATTTTATTAATATTTAGGTCTTGTACTAATTGTTTTAGCTGAATACACAAGAATGACACTTTCCATTACACGTAACTGTTTACATTTTAAAAATGAATTATTGGGGCCAGGCGTGTGGCATAGTGGCTAAGGCACTGGACTCCTAAATGGCCAATGGGTTTAAACCCTGGACCTGGTGGCGTGCACCAATGGGGAATGCTTTCTCTCTCTTTCTCTCTAGCAAACACAAATGTCTTCCAGCAATTAAACACACACACACACATCTTTATATTTTACTTCAGAGAATCTAGATAGACAAATGATGCAAAACATGCTTTTGAGTTAAAATCTTTTAAAGTATTTTAAGATCAGTTTCCAAAAAGATCTGGTTACATGTATCATGTGTAAGTAGAAAAGTATTTGATTGACTAGTGGCTAAAATTAGGATATAGTACAATCAAAAGCTCCATAGCAGTGATTTAGAATGTAATATACTAGTTACAGAAATTTCTAGTTAACTAAGAGTTAACTAGCACTGTATCTGTTTACCTAGCCTGACATTTTACATGCCCAATGTGTGTTTCTTTAAATGAACTTTGTTGTAGTCTTCTATTTAATGGTTATTTAGTGTTGACTAAATCACTTAATCTCTTTGAGCTTCTGTTTCCTCATTTGTAAAATGCAGGTTAATAACAACATCTAATTTATTTTTATGATGGCTCCTATCAGCAGACCCTTTATTTCAAATATAGTAATATTGTTTTCTTCCCGACTGACTCATTCTGTAGCTATGGCTTCATACCCAAAACAAATTAAAAAAAAGAAAACAAGGAAGTGACAGGTAGAAAAGGTATTAAAAATATCAAAAAGAAATGAATACTAATAGCTTTTTTAAAAATGCTGAGCATCACAGAGGGTTGAGAGGATTTAAGAGCTCTATAAATCATAAAAAAAAAAAAAAAAAAAAGAAAGAAAAAAATCTGGAGGGGGCCAGCAAGTGGTTTGGTGGTTAAGGATGCTAGACTGCAGTTCGAGTCCTGGACCTGGCTGCTTTCTCTCCCACTTTCTCTCTCTCTATCTTTCTCTGGTCAAATTTAAAAATAATAATGAATAAAGTTAAATAAAATAATTTTTTAACTTCTGGAAAATGTAAACTCTTACTATATACAACCATAAGCCTATAAAGAATAATTAACTGGGCTGAATTAAAACTCATCTCATTGGCGTAATGGTTACATCATTGGACTCCCGTGTAGTTGACCATAGTTCGAGCCCCAGACTTGATGGCTTAAACCTCACACTGGACACATGTGTGTGTGTACCCAAATTCCAGAGAGGAGGATGGAGGAAAAGAGATTTTGGTGAAGCCATTCCACTTGGGGGGTGATTTCTTCCTTTCTGTCTCTCTCTGTTTTTCTGGTAAGTGCATGCATCTCAAAGAAAAAAAAATATATATATACATGATTGTCTCTGATCCCGAGAGGAGATGGAGGAGAAGAGATTGGGGCGTGGCCATCCCCCCTGGGGGATGATTTCTCAATTTCTGTCTCTCTGTCTCTCTTTGTCTGGTGAGCGCACATGCCCTATGGCAAAAACCTCTCAAAAAATAAAATATATATATACATATATATATATGATTGTCCTGACCTACGACCTCCATATGAATAAAAAGAGGAGGGAAAGGGGAGAAGAAAGCTGACTGCCAAAAAGGAAAAATAAAAATCTCTTTAACATATCAGCATTACTAAAACAGAAATCATACAAAAAAACAAAAACAGCCCCTGAGCCGGAGCCAAATAAAAGATATTACAAATCAATAAACCAATAAAACCAAGTAGAAAGGGTGTGCTTACACTTTATTAAGTCATCTGATCATCTGTACCAGTGTGGCAGGGTGAATTGCACCAAGAAAAATTAACCCAGGCTGACAAAAGCAAAAAGGATATTGAGGTTTAAAGTAAATAAGGGTTTGGAAAAAAAAAAAAAAGGAGGGACCAGCAGTTAGCGTAATGGCTGTGTTGCTGGACTCCCATGTAGTCGACCGTGGTTTGAGTCCTGGACCCTGTGGCTTAAACTCAGTCCAGTGACATAGGCATTACGCCAACTGCTGGTCTTGAGCTCATGTGCCAGTCACGTGTGCGTGCGCACCCAAGATCCCGAGAGGAGAAAGGAGGAGAAGGGATTACGGTGTGGCCATCCCCCCTGGGGGGTGATTTCTCACTTTCTGTCTCTCTGTCTCTCTCTGTCTTTCTGGTAAGCTCACGTGCCCTATAGCAAAAACCTCTCAAAGAAAAAAAAAAAATGAGGGTTTAGAAAACAAGGGGTCGTGGCAGTGGACAAGGACCTACCCACAGTCATGCTTCCAAAATAGACCTGTGAGGCCACAGCTGACTTTGCACAACCAGCAGTGGCAGCAGATGCAGCTGTTGCCCTCAGGGAAATGTGGGCATGCCTGTGCTGCAGTTTTCCTAGCCCAGTGGCTTAGCATCACCAGCTCCTATTGTTCTAGCTGAGATGAGTGTCTCTGATCAAGTCTAAATAAATGTTGCAAGGGAGTCCTGAACAGCCTGCATCTGGCTTTTTCTTCACTTCTTTTTTTTTTTGGGAGAGGTTTTTGCTATAGGGTGCATGCGCTTGCCAGGCAGACAGAGAAAGACAGAGGCACAGAAAATTTAAGTAACATCTGTAAGGTTTAGTAAGTGGTGCAGCTGATATCTGAACCCAAGCAGTCTGGACTAGGCCTTTTTGAGATATTGGAAGAAGCGTTTATTTTCTATCACTTAAATTTTAAGATATCATGTGATTGCCTCCTATGACCTGCTTGACACCATTCTCTTTTTCTTCACTTTACATTTCTTGGTCCTTTTTGTGCCTCACATTTTGCTGGAGGCAAAGATGGAGGAAGACATCCTAAAGGAGAAGGCAGACAAACAGTTCATTCCCATCCATGTGATAAGCAGACCTTAAATGAGGTTTGTAAAAGATACTGGCAAAGCAGTTAGGAAGCAAAAAGCAGCCCTCAAAGAGGAGGGAAGGCAAGTCCCCAGAGAAAGGCAAATGCAGTGGAACCTCAAAGACTAAGGTGGGATTCATCAGGCTGACAGCACACAGCTCTCCCAGAAAGCTGTTCAGAACTGCTGGCATACAGGGGCCAGGTGGAAGAATGATGGGAGCAAAGGTTAAAAGGTTAGACAAGACAAAAGTCAGGTGCTGGGAGGGCCTTGGGTGCCCCACAGAGGAAATTTACTTTCTGTAGAGATGGGGGCTGGAGGAGGCCTGTGAAGTTTAAGAAGGGGAGTGATAAGACCAGGTAAATTCAAGAAAATCCAGGAGCAATGTTGCAGGTGGATAGAAGAGAACCATGAGACTTAAGGTGATCCAAGGGCTAGCATTATAGCTTAGTGGACAAGGGAGCCAGATCCCACATGGCTGACGTGGTTCCAATCCTGGCTCTGGAAGCTTGAAAGACATACCCGTGCATGTGTGTGTATGCCCAATATGCTGATAAGATAAAGAAATGGAGAGGAATAGATTGTAGAGTGATCATGCCCCATTGAGAGGTGCTTTCCCCTTCTGTCTCTCTCCTTCCCTCTCCTTTTTCTTCTCTCTCTCTCTCTCTCTCTCTCTCTCTGACACTGCCTGGCAAGTGCCTATGCCCCTGAAGGCAATTAAAAAGAAAAAGGGAAATAAGTGATTCAAGAATGTGAAGGAAAGGAGAGAGAGATGTCATAGAGACACCAAGCCTCCTAAGCTCTGAGCTAGTTATACGTAGGGCTTGAATGGGAGGAGATAAAATCAACACTATTGGTGGTTCTCATTGTACCTATGCTACTGGATAATATTGAGAGATTGGGCTGGCATCTACTTCCCAACCTCCACCCTGTGCCTCTACAGGGAAGTTCAGAAAGTTTAAAGTTATTCCTTTAGTCAAGGTTTCCAGTGATAAGATCCAAACCATGCACACCTGAGGCTGGGAGAGAGGCTTGTAAAGCCAGCTGTTGTGCTCAGGAGCTCTACTAGTAGACTCCCATGAATTTGTCTCTGGAGTTCTCTCACATGGACTTTCCCTTACTGCTGGAAAAGGTCCCAGAGATCTCCACACTCTTCCTTG